TTCACATATTTGTGGTTACTCACTGATGAATAAAATATCACCCCATGGGGGAAGAAGTAGTGATCTGTACCTGATTGGCAAGTTCAAATCAGATTTCAATCTCAATAAATACGCTCAATCACACTTTCGTAAAAGTATCTGTCCCAATGGTTGCCATGCCTTGGGGTAAAATGTGCTAGTATCGGGCATTCAAAAAGTGCGGTTCTAAGAACAGCTGATTGGTCGAGACATGTCACATGACACAGGTACAGTTCAAATGTTAATGAAAAAAATTCAGGTTTGATATTAGAAAGAACCCGTTTATAGTTAGTGATACACTAGAATCAACAAACCCTTGTATGTTACGAATTATTTATAAGCATTAATATTTATAAACCGAAATGACATTTACATTTGTATGAGGGTGTGCAGTGATATCATAAATTTAAATACAAAATCAACTGCTTTAAAGCATAATCACTTTTCAGAATTGAGCTGGAACAAAAAAAAAACAGTATTTGTGAATTTTTGAATAATTGAATCTTAACACAAATATTAACAAGCAGCCTCTCGGCTGAGATAGCTCCGCTGTTATCATTAGAAAATGAACAATATGTAGACTTGCTGTTTTTAACAAGAATTCAAAAATATCACTTTTCACCCAAAATGACAAAAATAATTGAAGATATCACCACGAAATTAACAATCTGAAAGAGGTGCACATGTAGTACATATAGAAGTAATATAAAAGCAATCGCACTTGTGGTTTTTAACAAGAAGTCAAAAATATCACTTTTTACCAAAAATTGCAAAAATAATCATCAAAATTAGAAAATTGAAGATATCATCATGAAATGAACAAATCTTAGAGAGGACCACATGTAGTACCTATATAAGTAATATCAAAGCAATTGGACTTGCGGTTTTTAACAAGAAGTTGAAAATATCACTTTTTACCAAAAATGACAAAAATATTCACCAAAATTAGAGAATTAAAGATATCATTACAAAATGAACAAATCAGAGAGAGGTCCACATGTAGTACCTATATATGTAATATCAAAGCAATTGGACTTGCGGTTTTTAAGAATATGTCGAAAATATCACTTTTT